ACACGTAAAGAAGCCCCCATTTTCCAGAATCTGAATCTCTTGGTCCCGGCCGGTAGCATCATGGCTGTGGTGGGGGCGAGTGGATCTGGGAAATCATCCATGGTTTCACTTCTTCTCAGGCTGTACGACCCCGATGCTGGTGAGAACGAGCTCGTTCTGTCCTCTCCGCCGTGACTGTAACACTTGAAGCTACTGATAAAGTGGATTTGACATGGATGTTTTTGTTCAGGTGTGATCACCATCGACGGTCATGACATCAGGGATTTAAATCCTTACTGGCTCAGAAGTCGCATTGGAACTGTTAGCCAGGTAATACTTTAATGGTTAACTTGTTTTATACAGCAGATATAACGCATACCACACAAGTTAAATACGGCAAAAGCAATGCATAATGTATTACAATACATGACCTCTCACCCCTGCTGCACTTTTCGCCTCCCTCTTGCAGGAGCCGGTGCTCTTTTCCTGCTCTATCAGAGAGAATATCGCTTATGGAGCGACAGATCCAGATGCTGTAACCACAGAGGACGTCTACAGAGCAGCCAAAGTAGCCAACGCCTATGACTTCATCCAGACGTTTCCTAAAGGCTTTGACACTGTGGTGGGGGAGAAAGGAGTGCTGCTGTCAGGTGAGGAACCAAATCAACTATTTATGAGCCGACACTACAGAAAGTTTTATTTGTGAGACTTAAATGGGAACTATTTTTTCATCTGTCCAATTCCTTAGACATTTATTTGTGCTTTCACTGTAGTGCCTTAGACTGCTCTAAATGCTCCCAGTATAAGATAAATTTAAAAAATATATATTTAGTGCCATGAATTAAATATTTAAGAGTAAAAATATGGAGCTGAACATGAGCACAATAGACCTCATTTAATTTGTTTTAATTACTGAGGAAGCATGTTCAAAATTCTCATCATGAATGGATGGATTTAAACTCCAAAATCATTTTTGTTTTAATATTTGATACTACCTGTTCAGAAGCTCTATCTTTAGACTCCTTAAATGGGCGCAGGTTTCTTTTTTGAAAGCTCGCGCTATCAGAGCATCATTTCATTATTTCTTTCTGGGGTTTTTAGCTGCTGTTGACTAACTTGACTCTGACTGTGCACATAATTACCTTGTGTCTGTTTGTCAGGTGGTCAGAAGCAGAGGATAGCCATAGCCAGAGCTCTACTCAAGGTAAATAGACTGTAATTGTTTTACGCATCTAGAATCATTGCATTCACCGAAAAACTTGTAGATTTATTTTGACTAGAATCTTCTACTCTTTTTCCAGATTTCCTTTTTGTGTGAAATGGTGTCTTTTAATCATATTTGTGGTTTCTTTCCACAGAATCCAAAGATCCTGCTTTTAGATGAGGCTACCAGGTGAGAGACGGAGGAATGAATTAGAACTTATCATACTTTGTTGATTTGTTTGTCATTGTTTGCTCATCTGAACATGAATACGGATTGTAAGTAACCTGTGATAGAAACTTAGTTTAAAGATAGATATTAATATATTTTAATCTTCATCTTTCTGTAGTGCGCTGGATGCTGAGAATGAGTTTCTTGTCCAGGAGGCTTTGGAGCGTCTGATGGAAGGTACACTTTACCCGCTTTGCTTTCCCTGCCTTTCCTGTTGCGTCACACATACGTAACCACACTTATATTTTATTTCGTGCTGTTGTCGTGCTTTTAACAGGGAGGACAGTCGTGATCATCGCTCACCGTCTCTCTACGATTAAGAACGCGGACGCTGTTGCTGTGCTGGACCAGCGGCGCATAGCTGAGTGTGGCCAGCCCACTGAGCTGCTAGGAAACAGGCAAGGACTATTCAGGAAGCTGATGGAGAAACAGGCGTTTCTACAGGAAGAGCAGCAGCGAGCACTTATCTGATCGGACAGGGAGCACGGATGCGTGAATGATAGAGAAATCAGGAGGTGAGGTCAGTGTCTGTGATAACCTTTGAACTCCAGTTGAAGGGAAGCCACTGGAAAAAATCAAATTTTATTTCTGCTTTTCTTTCTGTCTCGTTGCTGAAAAGACTGCCGTACATAGCATCACATGTGGATCACTCAGTACTTTTTGAAAATATCTCATCTTATGCTGAAGAAGGTGAGATTAAGAGAAAGGACTTATAACTACAGTTTTAGGGGAAAAGCTCAAATCCTGTTTTCTATCATTCAGACGTTCAGGAGGAATTTTGAAGAATTTAAATGTGACACTGTGTCTGCGTCTGGATTTCTTTTTTTTTGGTCAAGTTACCAAAACAGTCCAGATTGATTTTTACAACTCTGCTAAATGTATATTTGTTTTTGTCTCTCTACAGCTGATTTTTTTTTTCTATAAAGACTTGAAGCCTTTTACTGTCATATTAGAGTCTAAAGAACTAATGAAACAAATGAGCAGCTATATATATATTTATATATATATGTATGTGGTGTTTACACCCTTGTAAAACAGGACTGAACACTATTTTAATACATTTTGATTAATGTAAGCACATTTGTTAGTTTTAGTCTAAACCAGTTAGTTCAGTTACACTCGTGTAACTGTTTGTGTTCAGGATTTAACTGACAGCCTTGAAACTGTTGAACTCTACTGTCTTTGTTTGTCAAATGTAATACAAATAAGTTCAGATGCAGGGTAAAGCTGACTGAGGCTGCTGAGCAGACACTTTTATGTTTGGAGATCTGCTGCTCTCAAGGAGGAAGGACACTGGAGTCAAGTCAATAGCGTCTGTGCGGGTCTGCGTATCATCAAAACGTCTATTTCACTGTCAGAAATCCACATTTTCATCATCTTATATTGTTTTCAGAAAGCTATGCAGCGCAGATGAGTTTAACCTTTTAATTTGGAAAAGCCGAAAACGGCATTGCACCTTTAGACATGTGAGTGTACATGTGAGCACAGGTGACGCTGCTTAAAACTGCCTATGTGGCACAATCGTCTCCTCTGTGCACAGCGGGGTGTTTACTGGATGTGCACTTGGCTGGCTTTAAGTTCTCTATAGACATGTAACCATCTACATGTAGCTACAGTGCTGAAGCTTATAAGACACAGACTCAGAAGCGATGACACTCCTGCATAAATATTAGGTTGATAAATGCCCTCTTCATGTCTCACTGAGATTCTGTTTGAGAGGATATTCCTTCATTTTTAACCCAGACATGTAAATGTCCTGAGGCCAAATTCCTTGCTTCTCTATCAGAAACGGCTCCTTTTGATTTGTCGCTGTAGAGCCCAGTTAACCTTTGTAACGAGTAGCTGGGAACATTACTGATTACTAGTCTGCATTAGTTACTAAACTCCTTTTATATTTCAGTGAGTGAGAAAAAACAAGCAACATGAAGGACTCGTATAATTTATCACGTATCATTAATATAGATGTTATAGTGCTGTCTTACACATACTTGCTGTTTGTTACATTTGGACACTCTGGTCCATTTTGAACTAATTAATCGTTGGAAACTGTCTATGACAACTGGCTAAAATATCAATTTAGCTCACAGTTTGTAGGCAGTGATGTGAGGTGGCTCATAAGTGACACTAATGCAGATGTAGTTTTTGGGGAAATTAATCCGGCATTGATCTGCAGTGACTTATCTTGTGTGTCACTTTTAGAGTTATTTATTTATTCATTGCAGCGTGTAGCCTGTGTTTCAGGTGGATTTTATCTGTGTGTTCTTTATGTTAAGTATATTGAACACAAGGTGGTTTATTGTGGACCCGTTTCTTCTTTATCATTTTTTTTTTCACTTTAGAAGGAAAAACAATTTTACTCAAATCACATTCGAGTTTCACATCATTGAGACATGTTAGTCCACATTTTAGAGCTAAGTTTACTTGAAAAGTTGCCTTGAATGTCTTTTTGCTAAACTGGAGAAGCTGGAGAGTAAATTCACTCCACACTAAAGTAAATGCTGAACGTCCAGCTGACAGCAGGTCAATGTGCTCACACAACTCACAGCTGCAAGTTTCTTTTTCTTTTTCTAACTTGTAAATAGTGAGATATAAATATGACACGGTGGGTTTTAATGATTTTTTTTTTTTTGTGGTCAATAAATTATAATACTTCTATGTAAAGATAAATAAAGTAAAATACTAATAAGTTGCTCTGTGTGTGTGTGTGTGTGAGTTTTATGTGAATTTTTTGTAAGTGGTTTGTTATCATACACAGCTACTAGTCCCCATAGAATCAAATTACACCAAATTACACTTTACAATTAATATTGTAAAGTAAAAAAAACATAGAAAACCCTAACAATCAGATGAACCCCTATGAGCAAGTACCTGGTAACAGTAGGAAGGAAAAACGTCCTTGTAACAGAAAGAAACCTCCTGTAGAACCAGGCTTGGGGAGGGGCGGCCGTCTGCCACGACAGGTTTGGGGATCTGGGGAGGGAGATGGGACAAAAAGACACTGTGAAGAGAACCAGAGCTTAGTAGCCAATGATTAACAGGCCTTTTATGTTGCGGGTCAAACTGACCTGTTTTAAAGTTAAAAAATCGAAGGGAATTTTTTTTTTTTTAAGTATTTTTAACCCCCGCATGTTTATATCACATAGATAGTGTTTGGGTCAGTTCGACCTGGCATTCAAAGTAGTTGTTAAAGGGGTCAAAATCTATTTGTTTTATGTGCAACTGTGAGACACATTTCACCACACGCACAACACTCCCTACATGAGGTTCTATTGACCTCGTGTAAACCGCGTGAATGCAGGTGGCGTTATGACTTCTTCTCCACCCACATTGAGGGGACACTCGCCAGCAAGAGAGCAAAACGTGTAAAGAATCTCTGCAGTGGAGTCCTGACAACATTCCACAGCTACATATGAGACATTCTCCTGTCAGAGTTTTACCGAATGAGCAGCAGAATAAAGGGTCATAGCCCTGAAAGCTCTAAAATTCAACTTTGATCATAGAGGAGGAGGATCTGTCTGCAGATGAAGACCATCGTGAAGTTAATTCTGAATGTGAACCAAATAAAGAAACTGATTTATATTTCTCCAATCATGACAATAACATCAAAATGGTGAAATAGTCATCTTCATCCTCAAATATACATCAGGCAAAACTGCAACGTAAAGATGGCCTTTTTGGCTCCCAGAAACAAATCTAAACAAAACCACATGCATAGCATAGAGGAGAGAAGGGACATATTTTAAACAATCAGCCACGTGGTGACAGGTGTGCTTCCTCTTAAGCCCCGCGTCACACGGGTTGCCCACCTCCAAACCAAACCGAGAGAGTTGAATGAGTTGAATGGTCATCACACTAGTATTTAAACAGTTTACAAAGAAGCTGTTACACTCCCACTCTTCAATTGACTTTCCACTACAGTTCCAGCAGAAACCATGTGATGATGAATCAAGCAGTCCCAGCTGCTCTGCCGTTCTCTGTCATTATATCACATTTGTTCATCCATATTACATAAGTATCTGGATGATTACATTTTCAGCCTCAATTCAAGGAGTTTAATAAACGTGTTGCGCTAACTTGCAATGTAATATCCACGGGAAATAATTCTGTAGTTATCCACTATAGGTGCCTCTCAGGGCTTTTGGTGTTGCTGACTGAGAAGTGCCTTTATTCTTGAATGTATCCGGTCCGTGATTTGACCACTGTTAAAGTCTCTCTGATTGGTTTATTTTGGTTAATGATGAGCTCCTTCATTTGCATTGACATCACTTCACTTCATATTGAGAGTTCAGGTGAACAGCCTCTATATTGTTTTAAATAACACTTGGGGGAAAAAATCCAGATGTTTTATCAGCTAAATTTGTCATGAAAAAACTCAGTTGTCCAACTACTTTGTGCAAAACGGCAGTAATTCTCCTCATGTTCATTGACCTAACCGCGTTTCAGTGCGTGCCTGTGCAGTGTTTCAGGCTCTCACTAGGTGGCACTGCTGCTTCATACACTGAGCTACCTTCCTGCTGTGAGGCTCTCACTTCAGGTTTCTGGTTCAGTCCTTCATACCAGACTGAAACCTCATGGTTGTGATATGACTAATGTGTATTCAGCTGCTGGTAGGTTGTGATGACAGTGCTGTGAGCTTTGCTGCAAATAGACCGTTGTCCCATCTGCTGGCACACAGACAGGTCGTGGCATTGAAGGGATGCAGTCGATATATTTATCCTTGTAAAACGTTTGTTACACCTGGGGGGCAGCTTAAAAGTCCATGAAGATGAATCAAGTCTTATTTGAAATTTGTCAGTTCTGCTTTGTAAATGACAGGTTTTATAGCACATCCACACAAGACTGAACCACACTGAAAACATCTGGAATAAAACAATGATTTGATGAATAGTTTTATTAATTCTTGACCTTAGTGACCAAATAATGCTGTAAAAAAGACTATCTAATTTAAAGTCTAAATATCTGATCTTGGAATATTTCTGACATATTGCTCAAGACTTTGATGTCTTGCTGCTTCAATTAATTGGCATTCAGCTTAAGACTATAGACTTTGGGTTCTCCCCTGCACCAGACCAGGTCTCCAATTCCAGCTCCATGTGCTGCAGCTCCCCTCACCGAGAAAAGAGGTCCTGACCCTTCTTGGCCTTACACAGCAGCATTCAAAGTCTTTATTTGTCACTTGGAAACACCACACAGAGCCTTACATTGCTAAAAAAAAACAAAACAAACAGGAATATAACTATATAATATATAATAATAAATATAACTAAATAACCAGAATAATTTACGTTGCGTTTTGAATCTCAGTCATGCCAAAGCACCATATGGAGGAATCTCAGGAGAATTTCTACAGTCACATAAAGCAGAGAAGACTCAATATAATTTTGAGAAATCCACCGAATAGGTAGCCATGCATCAACCTCTGCCTGTCTTTGGCATGTCACACCGCCCATCATCTTCCATAACACTGCCCACATGGTGACATTTTACCATCTTCATGTTATGCTCACCCCGAGCACTGGAGGGTGATTCCATGAGCTGATTGAATCAAAATGAAGAGAAACAAGAGCTGATAAAGGAGCTGATATTTTATGGTTGTGTTCGATTTTTACCTGTCCACTTACAACATCCTCAGTATCCTCAGCCACTCCTCACAGCAGCAAAATGGACAGCAAGTTCATTTAAATCTCCAACATCAAGTCCTGCCTATTCGCTCTTAAAATAAAGAAAGATCTACTGTACATGTCGAGCATGCTGCCACACTTTAAAAGGTAGCACGCTCATGTACAGCAAGAGTATTGGTTCCAGCTACTGAATGCCTGAGCTTGTGCTATTCTTACACGTTCCCTGTCACTCTCGCCCTCTGTGCTCCCATGATAGTCCTGAAACTTTCAGCTGAAGAAAGCCTCACTAGAAAAGTTGCAGGTAGGCAGCCACAGAGACTGAGGGAGCTTTTACAAAGAAAATACCCTTTTCCTTCAGCCTATTCACGTCTAAAAAGTGTCCAAAATGCTCTCTGTCACCAAACTACATCTAATTTTCAAAACACACAAACCCCCCAAAATATTCTACCCTTTCCAAAGTCTCTGTCTCTCTTCAGCTGCCTCGGTCACACATCTTCCGACCAACTGCACTCATCTTTTCTGCCACCTGCTGCACACACCCTTTCACCTCCATCTTCCTCCTCCCTCTATGCTCCAGGCTTGCTCTCTCTAATCTCCTCCCCCTCGGCCCCTCTGACCTCCTCTTGCGCGTCTCCCTCTTGCGCTCCCCAACAACTGCCCGTCCCTTTACATTTTAGGTGTTTCACTGGCCCCCGGATCCAAAATGGTTCACAGCAAGTGCATAAAAGTAGCTCAACCTTGCTCTGCAGCTCCTCCACCCCTTCAGCCCCCCCACACACACGCAAACACATTCCCTAATCCACATTCTCTCTACTTTCGGCCTGTACCCAAGGAGGCCCTGCTCATTTGCTCTCATCCACCAAGGCATCCAAGATTTTGTCAGCCTACCTCCTCTTTTCCTATTTTCATTGACATATCAGTGAGCACAGGTTCTGCAGAAATGCATTTTAAGTTCAGGAAGGAACCACTGAATTACTGAATGCAATTAAAAATTACCTGATTAAGTCCTCTGTTTACACAGGCAATCAATTCATTACCTCCAACCTCTTGCAGGCCATAGTTAGGAGCAGTAATGACAGTCCAGGTTATGTAAGACTATGTGTTGATATTTCTCTCTTCCCATTGAAACCCAGCTCGATAAGTAAAATATAGAGCAACCCCTTTTTATCAGTCAATATGTCCATTATTGATAAATTACCCATCATGATATATTTCAAAATATTTGCAATTAGATGTGTACAAACAGCCACAGTCAACACAAATAATCTACAAAGAAATCCTTGATCTAAGATCTGAATATTAAAAAACTAAATAAATGAATAATTAGTCATGTTAATGCTGTCCTGCTTTCTGTATGCTGCTTTCAGGTAGGAATTCCAGGAGTTGCCAGACCCATTGTGATTTTTTTTCTGTCTGATTGATCAGTTCACCATAAATATGGTTCTCTTCTCTCCTGCTTTAGATCCATCTCTGTTTTTGTTTTGTTTGTTTTTTTGTTTCTACTCTAATCCTCTCTCACTCCTCCTATGGAGTTATTATAACCACCTTGGCACCTCCTCTTTCATTCCTTTCGGTGTATCCGTCAGTAATACACACTAACATGCATGTACACACACACGCACGCACACACTCTCCATTTGTCACACACGCACCAGCTCCCCTCCTCCATTAGAGTTATAATTAATCCAACTGCTTCACTGACAGAGCAGAGTAGCCCCTTCAGATAAGGTTTCAGCTGCTGGCTACTTCGAACTTAGAGCTCCGTGAATTTGAAGCCACGTGGGCTGCAGGATCCGATTTTGAGTTTAATTCATTGCACGTCTTGATACACGATTTAATGCATCTTAATACATTTGTGGATGCAGTTATAACTGAGAAGGGGGGGGGGAGGGTTACGTTTGCAATCTCCTAATTCTGATTGGTTCTCTGTACATTGATCAATATGTTTAGTATTTAGTGGTTGTTGTTTTTTTTTAAAAAGAGTATATTTAAGCTAGCAATCAATGAATAAAAAGTACACTTTTATAGCAACACTGTAA